GCTGTTGTTGGTATGCTTTGGAAGATGGTTTTCAAAGGTTCTGGGAAGACAATGAAGGCTCCAGGGAGGAACTATCGCATGTTAAGGAAAGACTTTGAACGTAGCCCTAAAGATTACTTTCTTAACTTGCGCAAATAGACAAGGGAGATGAACTCTTAAGACAAAACTTGAGTAAGAAACTACATTTAAGTCTTGTCCTTAAGGTTATGGTACTATTTTAGTATTTTATAGCTTGTTTAGTGTTGTTTTGTTTAAGAAGGGGAGGTGACTTGGTTTGGCACAACCTGTTGCTCCAGGTTTATGGTATTTTGATGAGACTGAAGTGTAATTTGGTTATGAATTTAATTTTCGCATTGTTGGTTACTTGTTTCTTGTTTATTCATGAGTGAATGTGTGCTACATATAGTTTAAATTTGCTGCTTGTGTTTCCTTTCTTGCACTAGTTCATGAGTGAATGTTTGATACATATAGTTTAAATTTGCAACTTCGTGTTTTTTTTTTCAGTACCAGGATATTTACTGTAACAAACGTTTTTTGCTCGATTGGCTGAGCTAGGTTTCTTGGATAAACACACTCAATTAAATAAGCTTTCAAGCTGATATAAGTATTTAAAAAGATAATGTCAACGTCTTGCAAGACTGATATATTTTTCCTTTGTAACAATCAATTTTCATCCTTATTTCTACAGCTTCCAAACTCTTACTTATCAACTCCATCAATCATTTTTTTTCTTTTCTTTTTTTACTTAAATGATTTAAAGACATTTTTTATTTTTATTATCTATAATTTATTTTTAACTTAAATATGTTTTTAATCATTTAAATTTAAGATAAATTTATTTTTTATCCCTCAAATTTAAAAATATTGATTTTATTTTCTAAAATTTTTTAAAATCTTATTTTAGTCTTTCATATCACCAATAATATATTGATAATTATGTAACATCAATTACATTCAATATGGTGTTTTTAATACTAGAGACTCAGTAGATGGATTTTATATAATAGTATTTGACATATTTTTTAACAAAATTTGAATATAAAGATTAAAATAAGATTTTTTTGAAATTATAAGAACTAATAAATCTATTTTAATTTTAATGGGTTAAAAATAATTTTTTTTAAAATTTGAATAATTATTTTGTCATTAAGTCTCTCAGACAAAACACTTCATCTATAAGACAAAAACTTGATATTTATATCATTTATGATTATTGATAATTGAATCAACTTTATCTATGATATTCCTTGATAGATCAAAAGAAATTAAAAACTCACCGGTACTCACACTTTACAAAGGAACAAAAGTCATGCTTTATGTCAGAAAAGGACCAACATATCTCTTGAAGAATGTGAAATTTCGGAGAAAGTTTTTTCTAGATTGACACATGCAGAATTCCTTTTTTTTTGTACCTAAAAGGTGATAAATAGTTTTCAAAATCAGCTAAAAAATGACAATTTAGTGAAACACATTTAATGTTTGCATTTATTACACCAATGGACATTTTTCCTCACAAGGAACGAAAGATGAAGACAGGTGAAATAAGCTTATGTGAAAGATGTTCAAGAATTTGCAACGATCATTTTTATAAAACACCTAGATAAAGAAACTTGAAGATTCAAAAAGTACAGAGACACACACAAAGAAACTTACATGAACAAATTGTATACTTCATTCTATAAAATGTTTTGTACTTAATTGATTGTATTACATCTTGATAGTAAGATAAAACAATATTGTTATTTTTTCAGCTTTAACTTTGAGTTATTGGTTTGAGTTTGGAGAGACTTGTCTATAAAAGAATACTTGGTTGTTATAGGCAGAAGAGATTTTGTGTTTAAAGAATATTTAGGTAGTTGCTTGAAGAACTAAGTCGAAGAACACTTAGGTAGAGACATAAGTGACTTGTGAAAGAATACTTATATCTTTGCAACAATAGTAAAACTTGATCAGGTTGATTAAAAATTGGATGTAGTCTCAATGATTAAAACAAACCAACATAAAAATTTTATGTTCTTCTTACTTAATTAACTCTTCATCCACACTTGCAAAGTCTTATTATTAGTTCATTGTTTCAAAAAATAATAAGTTTTTTTATTGAGACTATTCAACCCTCTTCTACCGTTGAGCTTTTATTGATAATATTCAACTTTCTTTTAATGTTTTTCTTTTCCCCACAATTAATATGTAACATTTTGACGGTTTAACAAATGTTATGACACCTCCAAAAAAGTATCAGAAAATATTTAAAATAAATATCAATTATTGTCTTAAAATAAATATTAGAGACCAAATTAAATTTATGATTTCAAATCTTGAAGAGATGAAAATGAAAAAAAAAATCAATTAAAATCAAAATTTATTTATTTTAAAGACAAAAACAATGATTAATTTCAAATTTTAAAAGTATAAAAAACAAAGAAAAGTTATAAGAATCAAAATAAAATTCACATATTTTATTAAATTGAAAATATATTTAAGCAAATAACATTATAACAATCACTACAAGAAAAATTGTTGTTATCTATAGAATATTATCTACGAAATTTTTTCCATAGATAATGTTTAGTTATCTACGAAATATTATCTATGAAATTTTTTCCATAAATAACTTTTAGTTATCTATAGAATATTACTTACGAAATTTTTTTCGTAGATAATATTTATTTATCTACGCAAATTTTCGTAGATAAGTTATCTATGGATTTTTTCGTAGATAACTTCACCCATAAATAAATTTCGTAGGTAAACATTTTATTTGAAACATTAGTTAACATATTTTATTATCTTTTCATTTTAATTTATTGTAAAATAATTAGGATATTTAATTTAGCATCAAATAATCATATAAGATTTAATTTTTTTAATTTAATTATTTATTATAATACTTTTAGTCACTATATTGACCAAAAAATATATTTTTGATTAAAATATATTTTAAAATTTTAGTTAATTCATTATAATATTTAAAAATAAATATTATTAAAAAATTGTAATTAGATAAGTTATTTACGGAAATTTCCGTAGATAAGTTATGTACAGATTTTTTTGTAGATAACTTATCTACGGAAAAATCTGTAGGTAACTTATCTACGAATTTTTCTGTAGATAAGTTATCTACGGAAATTTTCGTAGATAACTTCACCCGTAGATAAATTCCGTAGGTAATACTTTTTATTTGAAACATCAATTAGCATATTTTATTATCTTTTCATTTTAATTTATTGTAAAATAAATTCACATTGTCTTACAAATGATTTGTATTTTACACTTTGTCTAATAATCATTTTCGTAGACATTTTCTCTTGTAAAAATGTTTCATTTGTTAACATTAAAATTTCAAATCTTAAGGAATTCAAGATTCACATTGTCTTACAAATGATTTGTATTTTACACTTTGTCTAATAATCATTTTCGTAGACATTTTCTCTTGTAAAAATGTTTCATTTGTTAACATTAAAATTTCAAATCTTAAGGAATTCAAGATCATCTTTTGACTTGACAATCTTATTTTTAAGATTCATTATGATCCTTTATTTTTAAAATATTCATTTTAGTTCTTTATTTCCTAAATTTGAATCGATTGAATCATTTTGAAATAATGATTATTTTCAATTTTGAATCTTATTTTACTAATTTAAAACTTAAAACTTATCTCATTAAATTTACTTATATGAAAATGATTGAATACAACTAAAATTTAAATAAAAAAAGTTTCATGCACATGGTGAAAATCGTATAAATACAAATTCAAAAAATAATTAAAAATTTCAAAAAATTTAATTGTATATAATTTTCTAATTACTCGTGGGTTATAGTTTTCACTTTATAGCTCTTAGATTCGAATGCTAATTAAATTTTATAATTTTTATATATTTAATATAATATTATAAATTTCACATTTTAAATTAATCAATAATTAATTTAAAATCGTGTTATAAAATTAAAATTAATCATTTTTTGAAATAACCAAATTGATTTAAAATGAACATTTTAATAAATAATGAACTAAAATAAATTTTAAAAATAAAATAATGGACAAAAATATAATTTAACTTATTTTCACTTGTATGCAAAATTACTCTCACGTAATTATATATGCAAATGTTTATTCCCATAATTTAGATATTAAAATATTTTAACGTAACTTTTTACTATTCTCACAAGATAAATACGCCCCTTTGTAATTTAAACATTACAGCAACATATTAGAAATTAATAATAATTAAGATATTAGCCGCGTCATGTATATATCAATTTTATACATTAATTGAAGTATATGAAAATATAAAGAAACGAAAAATATAAATTGGCAGCAAACCAATTTTAAGTTATTTCAATTACAAGTTCTTTGATTTTTTTTAATTTATCAATTGAAAAATAAATGAAAAATTACTATTGTAAATATTGAATTTCGAAAATTCTTATATATAATGCTATGAAAAATTTATTGATATTTTATTCGATAATCAATGTTTATTATTATTTTGATACCCGTGCTTCTAATTTAAAATTTTAAGAATTATATATGTATTTAAATTAAGAAATGGTAATATATCTTGTTAATACGAATATATATAAACGTGGTTAGCTTTTAATATACAAATAGCTAAAAATTTACATGGAACATCTTGAATTACTTTTGAAAAATTCTGTGTATATAGCCCCTTTCCGAGAGACTAAGTGTAGTACCATTATTGATTTAAGATGGGGTACCTTACCAGCTTTTGAGTTGTCATTTAGGTTGACTAGTTTGACGAACTCCCCAATAAATCATTATTAACTACCTAACAATCAAAATATGTAGTTTAAGTAATTTAACATTTCTATTTTTTAATTATAACTGAAATTTAATTTCCGTTCCAACATGAAATTGAACCTTTTTTTTTCTTTCTTTCTATAAAGTTGATGATGAGAAAAAGTTATATTTCATTATTGAACAAAATAAAATAAAATAAAAACTACCTAACAAAACAACTGAATAATTATTAGCTTTAAGATAATGCATAAATCATGTTTATATATTGAAGAAAATAAAAAAGTGTCACCAGGAAAATAAAGCTTATAACAAAACTCACTTCCAAATACATTCTATACACACTTCAATATTGTCAGATTCCAAAACAATCACAATCCATCAGACATACTTACTGTCAACCAAAAGAAGAATGAATACAAGTAAATAATGTTAAAAGAAGAAAAAAAAAATCTCTCGCAAAGCCTACTTTCCTATACATCTTCACTCACACAATTATGTGCTCACTTTGTTTTCCAATAGAATCCAAAATGAAATGAAAAGAAAAAAAAAATCATGTATCAAACCATGTATATATATCAATCTTGCACTCTATATATGTCAAATTAGAAAATGAATATTTGATGAGATCAAATATTAATCAGGAACTTCGTGCTAGCATCTCTTGGAATTCAAGCATTGACCTCTCTTTCTGCAGCCTCATATCTTCACGAAACTTGCTTATGAATTCTTCTGCCTTTTCATCCACGTGTAGTTGTGGAGACTTAGCAACCACAACCTTCCATGCATCCTCTATAGTGTTCAAGTCACTACTCTCACCAACCATACTATTACCCTTGTAAATGCAATGTTCCTTCTCTTTCTCTTTCTCTTTGCTTTTGCTTGTTTCTCCTTGCCCTAATTGTGCATGACCACTTCTCTTGTTGGTGGCATCATGCATGATGGACACAGAGTTAACCTTGTCAAAGAGGTCATCTATGTGTATGGCTGCACATGATGAGTGCCTGTGTTGAACATGGTGGTAGTAAGAAGCAGTGGCACGTGGCCTTGTGGTAGTGGTCATGAGTGAGTGATGATGATGAAGTCTAGAGTGTATGAGATGGCCAAGGGAGTGAAAAGCTGAGAGGAGGCGTTGAAGGGTGGTTTTGAAAGCCTTGGGGATGTTGAGTTTGTGGAGTTTGTGTTTGACTGTGTTGGAGCAGCTCTTCCATGCCTTCTTGGCAGGTTGAAGCTTCTTGGTTAGCCTCATGCGAGACATATCACAAAGTGATCGATGATGAAGGGTGTTTTGCCTTTGGTTTGGTTTGATGAGAGAAAGAGATGGAAGGAAGAATTAATGTGTCTCCAAATGAAGGGAAGAGCAATGGTTCTCAATGATCTCATGAAGGAAACTTTGATGCCCCATTTTAGTTTTTATATAATCAATTTGTTCTACAAGTTGCTACCATCTTTTTGGTGCCTCCAATTGGCACATTATTTGTCGTTAGAATTACACATGTGCCATTGCTTAGATTTTTAATAGAAAATATACGTTATGGCACGAGTTGTAATAAATATGAAATACTAAAGTTAAGGGTCTAATTCTCACTTCTAATTCAAAGCTTTCGGCAGAATTGACAGCGTGGAAGCAACCTTGGGTGCTAAGTATAGTGAGAATAAGGAAAACTAAATATTCTGTAAAGACCAACATTATGGGTTTTCCCATGTGGTGTGTTGTGTCCGTATGCAACTTTTGGGTTGTGGGCTCCTTTTTTTCTTTCTAACGTAAAAGGCAAGTTGATCAGTGATCAGTGATCAGTACCCGCTCCTCATAACAGAAAAAGAAGTGTCATTTTATTCATTTGATAGTTTGCCATTGCCATTAAGTTATGAGTAAAGTGATGCATATAATATTTTATGCTAAAATATGTTTTAAAATACATATAACAATAAACCTTTCTTAGAATCTCGCGGTCAAATCTCTCAAATCACTTTATTTTCATATTTCTTAGAATCACTTTATCTATACACCTGAGTCTATAATCACTCCGCTCTCTAATAATTTAGTTTCACTTCTACTACATTAAGTAACCACTACTAGAAAATTGCAAAATTAGTGATCGAAATTTATTAGTTATTATTTAGCGACTGATTTAGCGACTAATTATGAAAAATCAAAATAGCTATATCAAAATAAGTTGTCGCTAGCAAATTGGTCACTATTTCGGTCGTTAAATAAAAAGTTTTGATTTTTTAGCGACGGAATTAAATTTGGTCGCTATTTCGATCGCTAAATTATAAATTATAATTTTTTTTAGCGACAGAATTAAATTTAGACTCTATTTCCACTAAATTATAAATTTTGATTTTTTTTAGCGACGAAATTTAATTCGGTCGCTAAATATTAGTTCAAATTAGCGACGAAATTGAATTTGGTCGTTAAATAGTAGTTAAATTTAGCGACAGAATTGAATTCGGTTGCTATTTAGGTCGCTAAATTATAAATTTTGATTTTTTAGCAACGGAATTTAATTCGGTCGCTAAATAATAGTTAAAATTAGCAACGGAATTGAATTCGGTTACTAAATTATAAATTTTGATTTTTTTAGCGACGAAATTTAATTCGGTCGCTAAATAATAGTTAAAACTAGCGACGAAATTGAATTCGGTCGCTATTTCGGTCGCTAAATTAGAAATTTTGATTTTTTAGCAACGAAATTGAATTCTGTCACTAAAATTAGCGACGGAATTGAATTCGGTCGCTAAATAGTAGTTAAATTTAGCGACGGAATTTAATTCGGTCGCTAAATCAAAAATTTTGATTTTTTTAGCGGTAGAATTTAATTCGGTCGCTAAATATTAGTTAAAATTAGTGACGGAATTGAATTTGGTCTCTAAATCAAAAATTTTGATTTTTTTAGCGACAGAATTAAATTCAATCGCTAAATATTAGTTACAATTAGCGATGTAATTCTATTCGGTTGCTAAATATTAGTTAAAATTAGCAACGGAATTCTATTCGGTAGCTAAATATTAGTTAAAGTTAGTGACGAAATTCTATTCGGTCACGAAGTAAAACTTAAAAAAATTTATAAATTGCTTAAAAGTGATGATAATATTTTTGTTGAGTATCAACCCATTTTCTTTTTTTTTCTCGTAAGAGCAAGACATTAATTTATATTAAAAAAATATTTATATGCACTCCTACATAATTAATTCCAATAGTTATTTATGTGAAAAAATATTTAGAGGTTTTTTTTATCTTGCAATGATGCAAAGGATGAGTGGAATTGTTCAATAAGTCTTGTCCAAAAAGAAGCATAATTGAGACTTAACATCTATTCACTCTAAGGCTTGGTAATAGCAGCATCACCTTGATTGATGATTCTCCAAAGGTGGTATTAGGTGAATTTAATGAACATCTCCATTTTATCCTTCTAATACGGGTAGTCCTCTCCGTTAAAGGTAGGATTCCTTGTGAGAAGGGCTCTTTTTTTGTAGATACTGATCTTCACTATTTCACACAATGAATCTTTTTCCCTTTAACATGGTTAAATGCTTAAACCTATCAAAGGCTAAGCTCTGATACCAAATTGTAGAGAAAAGATAAACATTAGAAGGGAAATTGAATAATGTGTATCAAAATCTTGCACATTTGTGGAGTGAAGTAGTAATGCTAGTTAGATGGTGAGCGAAGAGAAGTCAAACGAATCATTGAGTATTTTTATACAAGTTTGTCTCAACCATAGAGACTACGTCCAATTCTTAATCCAACCAAATTGAGTTCCACTATCTTTAAATAAAAATACAAGTATTCATTCAACAAGTCACTTCTAGCTCACCCCTAAGTTTTCTTTGACTTACCTCTTCAGACAACTACCTAAGTATTCTTTTCACAATAACCCTCTTTAGGCTTAACAGCCAAGTATTCTTTTTCATATAAGCCTCTCTATGCTTAACAACCAAGTATTCTTTTTCACACAAATCTCTCTAAGCTCAACCAAGTATTCTTTTACACAAACAAGCCTATACAAACTCAATCTTATTACAATAATGGTTATAGGGGTTACAAAGATGTTATTTTTCTCTCACATAGACGTTATACAACCAATATATAGTCTAATAAGCTTTGTACAAGAATGAATGAAGTTTATACACAAGTATAATTTACAAAGTGTGTTTCTTATTATATATGTCTTTTATATATTTCTTTTTGAGTTTCGAATCTTCTTAGATAATAGTTTTGAAGAAGATAATCGTTGCAACACTTTGAGTCCAACTCACAAGTTTGTTTTGTTTGTCTTCAACATCTTTCCTAGTAATGAGAGGTAGTCGTTGACTCATTTAATGCAAACATTAAATTCATTTCACCAAATGATACCTCTTATCTGATTAAGGAAGCTACTTTTCATCTTTCCATTCCAAATAGAGTTTGCAAAAGCAATATCGATGCAAAGTAGACAGTAGTGCCTTTATCTACTTTTCTCCATGATTTTAGAGATCTTCATCCTTGATTTTGACGGGAAACATGATTTTACTCTCTTAATTAATAGATTTGTGAGTTCCAAAATAACTTTCTAGTTCAATTTGTTAAGGAATAAAAGATTCAAATGAATTTTGTCCTTAGTCTCAATAAATAATGAACATTTAATGTATATAAGACAGACTGTATGCTTGTTCGATTCACATTGTCTTACAAATGATTTGTATTTTACACTTTGTCTAATAATCATTTTCGTAGACATTTTCTCTTGTAAAAATGTTTCATTTGTTAACATTAAAATTTCAAATCTTAAGGAATTCAAGATCATCTTTTGACTTGACAATCTTATTTTTAAGATTCATTATGATCCTTTATTTTTAAAATATTCATTTTAGTTCTTTATTTCCTAAATTTGAATCGATTGAATCATTTTGAAATAATGATTATTTTCAATTTTGAATCTTATTTTACTAATTTAAAACTTAAAACTTATCTCATTAAATTTACTTATATGAAAATGATTGAATACAACTAAAATTTAAATAAAAAAAGTTTCATGCACATGGTGAAAATCGTATAAATACAAATTCAAAAAATAATTAAAAATTTCAAAAAATTTAATTGTATATAATTTTCTAATTACTCGTGGGTTATAGTTTTCACTTTATAGCTCTTAGATTCGAATGCTAATTAAATTTTATAATTTTTATATATTTAATATAATATTATAAATTTCACATTTTAAATTAATCAATAATTAATTTAAAATCGTGTTATAAAATTAAAATTAATCATTTTTTGAAATAACCAAATTGATTTAAAATGAACATTTTAATAAATAATGAACTAAAATAAATTTTAAAAATAAAATAATGGACAAAAATATAATTTAACTTATTTTCACTTGTATGCAAAATTACTCTCACGTAATTATATATGCAAATGTTTATTCCCATAATTTAGATATTAAAATATTTTAACGTAACTTTTTACTATTCTCACAAGATAAATACGCCCCTTTGTAATTTAAACATTACAGCAACATATTAGAAATTAATAATAATTAAGATATTAGCCGCGTCATGTATATATCAATTTTATACATTAATTGAAGTATATGAAAATATAAAGAAACGAAAAATATAAATTGGCAGCAAACCAATTTTAAGTTATTTCAATTACAAGTTCTTTGATTTTTTTTAATTTATCAATTGAAAAATAAATGAAAAATTACTATTGTAAATATTGAATTTCGAAAATTCTTATATATAATGCTATGAAAAATTTATTGATATTTTATTCGATAATCAATGTTTATTATTATTTTGATACCCGTGCTTCTAATTTAAAATTTTAAGAATTATATATGTATTTAAATTAAGAAATGGTAATATATCTTGTTAATACGAATATATATAAACGTGGTTAGCTTTTAATATACAAATAGCTAAAAATTTACATGGAACATCTTGAATTACTTTTGAAAAATTCTGTGTATATAGCCCCTTTCCGAGAGACTAAGTGTAGTACCATTATTGATTTAAGATGGGGTACCTTACCAGCTTTTGAGTTGTCATTTAGGTTGACTAGTTTGACGAACTCCCCAATAAATCATTATTAACTACCTAACAATCAAAATATGTAGTTTAAGTAATTTAACATTTCTATTTTTTAATTATAACTGAAATTTAATTTCCGTTCCAACATGAAATTGAACCTTTTTTTTTCTTTCTTTCTATAAAGTTGATGATGAGAAAAAGTTATATTTCATTATTGAACAAAATAAAATAAAATAAAAACTACCTAACAAAACAACTGAATAATTATTAGCTTTAAGATAATGCATAAATCATGTTTATATATTGAAGAAAATAAAAAAGTGTCACCAGGAAAATAAAGCTTATAA